CAGCCTCACACGGATTGCTGAGAGCCGCCCAGCAGAAGGCTGAGAGCCGGCAGGTCTGCACAGTAAGGAGCTCAGAAGACGCCCGCAAAGAATATTCTCTCCAGATTTGCTAGCCTGCTCATCAATTGGTGAGTACATTCTGTTATTTCACATATATACACCAGAGCGGGTGGCAAGACATGAGCTTCCATAAAACTCGAATGAAAAACTTCACGCTGAGACCTCATAAACGTGCACGGTGCTCCTTGTGGGGACCAGTGTGGGTTTGCCCAGCCCTGTGGGGCTGGCTAACAGGAGGACGTACAGGGCCTGTGTTGGTCTGACACAGGTCCGGCTCACAGGGCATCCATAATAGGTGGGGAACGAAGCCTTCCGATGACTAATTTAGAATCGGTTCTGACTTTGCCCCCGATGTCCTATGGACTGGGTCAGGGCTCTTAGGAGGCATGCTGACGGGCAAGGCTGTGTCTCAAAGAAACCTTCAAGGAACAGATGCTCCTCGGCTTGGCTGTTTTAACCTAGAGGCTCTGCATCCTCAGCATCCAGCTCGGTCTGCCTGGCCTGCTGCATCTCCATCCCGAGAGCTGCATAGTGGCAAAGATGCTCAGCCAAGCTGTGCACCAAAAACCAAGCCCGCCCGGGGCTGCATGCTGAGCAGTCTAGGAATGGAAAGCAGGGCTCTAGACAGAACTCTGTCTTCCGCTCCCAGCTCGGAGCCTCCAAAACCAAATAATCCAACCTGACTGCCCTGCTCTTGGAATGTCCATGCCCCCCTCCCGCACTTCCATTGCTCCTTGCCTACTCCCAGACACCACGAACATCACCCATTGTCACAGAGGGGCACGGTGCCCATTCAGAGCGACCACAGGACAATGGCCATCACAATCTAAGAAGCCCTTTATGCTTAAGAGGCCAGGAGGACTGAGTGGGCAACAAGAGAAAAATGACAATGAGCTTCATCAACCATTTGCTCAGCACTTGATGTGAGCCAGCCTCCCTTCAACCTCATAACAGTCCTCTAAAGTGGGGGCTACTGGGACCCCCATTGTGCAGACTTGGGTGGGGGAGATGGGAGAAATATCCTCTTCACCAGATCAAGGTGCCAGTTTAACTTCTCTTGTCTCTTGCAGTGAGCGGGTCTCTAAATTTCCGCTCAGGGCTTTATTCCACCCAACACAAACCAGTGCCACTTCCAAGAAATATGGTATGCCTTTCAGGGTGCTTCTCACCCCAGCAACCAACAGATGCCCTTGAAGGTACAAAATGGCATATAAATCAGGCATGAACTAATCCCAGGAGTTTCTCCCGCCTCTGAATTGCTTTGCATGACTTCTGGATCCACAACACCTGGACCTTTGGCTCCCTTATTCATTCGGTTGTCAAAGAATTTCAGAGAATCTACTGTATGCCAGGTGTTAGGGCAGTTAGCTGTCCCTGCCCACAATGAACCCGAAGTCCAGAGGGCAAAATAAACAAGATAAAAATTGCAATACTACTTAAAAACAGTATGCCTTTAGAATACAGATTCCAAGAGAATGGGAATTTTGTCTACTCTGTGCTGTAATGTTTCTTGAACTCCAGCAGTGCCTGGCACAGAGCATTCAATAAATATTTACTGAATGAATGAAGAAATGGATGAACATATGGGTGCGTGCACGCCATAATGCATGTAACCCAGCAGTGATGATAGCATTTGTCCAAAGATGCCTACAGCCGCTCTTGATTCAGCATTTCCTAGTGCAGAACGCAGTCCAAGGCACATGGGGGCCCAGCCTTGCAGGGCCAGGGAATGCTTCCCAAAGGACGGAATGAAATGAAGACACTGAAAGTGGAAAATTCAAAGCAGAAGGAACCTGTGCAGAGAATGGAGAAGCACACCCAGGAGGAGATGAAGCTCTTCCAGTTAAAGGCAATGGGTTTTATAAACTCTCTTCACAGCCACTGAATGCCCTCTCTACTCAGATGTGAGCACTTAGGGGGAAAATACTACTAACTCCATGGTGGACACTGAAGCACAGATACTCCTATGCTGTTCACGTGACTGGAGCCGGTCCCGAGCAGCTCTATATTCAGAACTCCAGAACCTACAACTTTCGGAAGGCAAGTGGGTAAAGAGCTATGGGGAGGAGCGACCCCCACACCTATTGCCTGTCTTCCCTCAAAGACAGGAAAGCCATCACTTTCCAGACACCCAAGGACAAGAATCCAGTGGCTTACCAAAGCAACTCCATAAAGCAACCCAAACATTCATTCCGACGGCTTCTCCGGATTCAAGAAATTAAAAAGCAATGCTAACCTCCTGCCTCACTGCAGTCTCAGGAAGTCAAAGTAAATGCTGTCCCTTTAATTTACCCTTTTATTTACTGTGGACGCTACAGTGAACAGTTTTAATCTTTTCAATAAGCATGAATTGAGCATCAACTGTCTACAAGGCATTGGGCTATAGACACCATACAATGGCGGTCAATACATTCTATTGGAGGCAGACAAGAAAACAAAAGATGAAAGCTAGGAGCATTTCAGAGCGAGGGGCACGGTGACAACCTTGAACAGGATGAGGGGTTAGACAGTGAATGGTGGAGGGTGGCCTCTCGAAGGCCTCTGAGCTAAGACCTGAATGATGAGGAACAGGCATATGGGCAGCGCAAGGGGGAAAACAGCAAGAACAAAGCCCCCAGACGGAAATGAGCTTGGGGTGTTTGGGGCAAGGAAGGCCACTGCGGGTGGGACAGAATGCGTATGGAAAGACAAGGAGGAGTCAAGTCGGTAAGGTCTGAGAGGCCCCCGGAAAGATCTGGGACGCTAAGTGCAAGGAGATGCCACTGGAAACTCTTAAGCAGCAAAGAAACATGAACTGATTTTTGCTTTAAAAAGTTCACTCTAAAGGTCATCAAAACGGATACGTATTAGCGAGACACAGGGGTGGACTGGCCCTCACTTTCCCTGGCGCGTAACACAACAGATACCATTGGATAAAGACAGCATTCATCCGCCAGCATCCACCAGAGTCCCGACAAACAAGTGGAAAGTACCACTCTCTTGGTGACCAGTTGCTTGGACTTCCAAGAATGTGCTTGCAAATAAGCTCACTTATTCTTAAGCCCAGCGTCCCCTCTTCCTGGGTCATTCCCTCTGTGGAGGAGGGTTTAAAAAAAAAAAAAAAAAAGGTTCTATGCCCAAGGCTCATAAATCTCACCACTTTGGAACACACCTTGGAAAGAGAAAGAAGAGTTGGTTGGTTTCCGGCGCGCCAGGGAGAAAGCCTGAACACCTTGCTCACATTTCCATTCAAGCACTGAACTGAAACCCCAAGACCAAGCGGGACCAGCAATCCCAGTTTATGGTGGGGGCGGGGGGGGGGGGCTCCTGATCGCTTTAGAAAGAAATCAAGATATTCAAGACAGGTCAGCTTGACGGTCATCTGCTAAACGACCAGGACGGGAAAACACTATTTCAGTGTCCAACATATCAGAAAAGCAGCCCACGTGAGGATCTATCTGTGGCCATACCATGCCAGAAATCTGGGCTAATCTGACTCTGCTATTCATAAATTCTCCCTCATGTGAAAGCCCATGTGTTTGGGAAAGGGAAATGAATCCAAGTCAATTTTAGACATTGTTACTTGGAAACCATCTGGAGTCCCTGGAAGCAGAAGAAACCACCGCATCCCCTGCCCTCGGATGCCCACCAGAATTAGGGCAGTATGCTTACCTGGGAGTTTCGCCGGCCCTATTTCCCAGGGATGTCCCCACCCCCACCCTGCCAGATGCCAGCCAGGCTCCACTACCCACCCCAGAAAGGTATTTGGTTTCCACATAAACCAAGTGGAGAGCCCTCCATGTGTGGAGCCTGCTCTTGAACTGCACCCAAGGCTGGGTTCTCAGCTTTCCACTTTGCTTTAGAAAACTGCACACCTGAATTCCTCGGCCACACAGCAGCAAGGGAAATCCCTCCCCAGGAGCAGAAGTTCCATGAAAAATCCCCTCTACCCAACACCCCTGTGTTCACAGCATGTCTAGCTTTGGAAGAGACCCACCAGAATCCTTATGTAACGTTAATAGATGTTGGCACCCTGCAGAGCGGCTCCTGGAGACACTAGCCCAGATGTAGCCCATTTTCGAGGCAATGACAGCAGGCTGGGTCCTGCAGCTTCCTAGGGCCCGGCTCTTCCTGACTGTAGGGCCTCTCTGTTCCCCTCCCCTACCTGGCTGTGATCCTCTGCTTATCTCATCTTCCAGAGGAGTTGGACCTCCCTTTCTGCAGGCTCCCTCCCTCTGCTGAAATCAGTCTTAGGACCAAGCCGACAACAGCGCCATTCCACCAGCACCTTCCCTGCCCCCTCTCCCCCTCACCCCTTCACATCCCCTCTCCAACACCTATGGCCTTAAGAAACCCGGCCAATGAAGAGATCCAGAATCTCGTACAGTCATAGTCTCAGAAAACAAACACGGCAGGAGGCGCAGGCTCAGCTCTGCCAAGCCGACCAGGCCCAACACTTCCCCCCGGACCCCCCGGGAAGCCTGAACTCGGCGCAGGGGAGGGAATCTTCGGAGAGCGACTGCGGGTCGGCTGCCTCCAGCACAATCGGAGCAAACACCTGTTTCCAGGAAGCCAGGCGGCCGGGGGCGGGGTGGGGGGGGGCAAGAGGGGAGTCCCGGGGAAAGGCAGGGAGGACAGGGTGAAGGGGCAGCCGGGGACGCAGGTAAAGGATGCGTCACACTTTGCGCTTGGCAACCGGAGCCCGGGCGCAGCGGGCAGAGCCAGAGAAGGGCTCCCGGGGCTGGGAAGTTCCGAGAGGAGGGGTCGCGCCCGCGAGCAGTCCCGGAGGGGCCGGCGCAGGGGCAGGCACGGCGGGGAGGGAGGGAGGGAAGGAGGAGGGAAGGGAAGGGAAGGGAGGCCTGGAGGCCGGGAGGCCGGGAGGCCGGGGGGGGGCGGGGAGCGCTCCATCACCTGCGCGCCCCGGAGGCGGCAGCCTCGCCGGCGCGCACCGGGGAACCTACCTGCCCACCGTCTGGTTGGCCAGCTGGCGCATGCGATTGAACTGCTTCTTCATCGTGGCCCCGCTGCCGCGCTGGCCCGGGAGCTGGGCAAGGACGGAGCAGCCCGGAGCCCGCCGCAGGTTACATGGCTCCCGCGCGGAGCCTCCCGGGCGGCGGCGGCGGCACTGCGGAGCCTCCGGGAGCCGTCTGGCCCGCGCGCGCGGC